TTCTCAGCGTCTTTTGATTCCAAGTCTTTTTCTCCTCTGCTGAAGTATACCTGCTCTCCATGCTATGGGCAGCTCACACAATCTGGCTGTAATGGCCGGTTATTTTCCGGCTGGAGTTACTCCTCATCACCCACAGCCAGATATCTGAGATTATTTTATCATTCCTTTTGTGCGCTTTTGACTCAGTGACTTCAATAGGGCTGTGCACATCTCATTCAATCATAACGCTCTTGAAAATGCCCATGCATTTAGCCCTTAGGACCGTTCAGACCAACTGTTCAGGCATTTCAGCAGGTCTGGTTTAAACCACGGTAAAAGGTCCCAATGGTTGGTTTTACTGTTTCATATTTAAATGATCATTTAAACCATATTTGATTAGAAAACTCTGTTTTCTTCACGATAAAGCACTGTTTTATTAACTGTTTTATTACAGCAATATAAGGTGCTTGAGTCATGCTGCATTGTGACTTGCCTAACAACGCCCTTCAGCCGTGACTTATTCACAATGCAGCACGGAAGGCAGACTGAGAAATTATATAAAAGAATGTATGAATGAATGAACTCCATGAATGCATAAGGTCTTCAGAAAAGCCTAATAAAGCAGTGTTTATGAGCACAGGGCTGCTTTGTTTCCAGCGGTTACCATGGAAACCGCTCTATTTCTGCTGTTCCATAAGCACCACCTGCTGTCAGACACTGGAGTTACATTTTCATTCAGCCTGTCGGATGTTTTTGTTCAGACTAATGCGAAAATTGGCCCAAATATTTGTTGTAAATTTCAGCCTGAAGATGGAAAACAAGCTAATGTGTATTCTAAAAATCTCAACACTTTGGATAATTAGGTAGCCTATGTAAAATTGTTTATGGAGCAGATTAAATGCCTATAATTTATCATTTGACTCATCCTATTCACACACACAGACACACACACACACACACACACACACATTTTCATAAAATATTAGATGGCTTTGAATGTGTTTAATGAGCAGAAAAAAGTCTGCAACTCTACAATGGTTGTTGGATTCCAGTATATATGTATATATATATGTGTGTGTATATATATAAATATAAAAATATAAATATATAAATATTTATATTTATAAGACCGGTGAATATACTGATTGGGCACATTGAGGTCGCCCATGCCCAAGCCATGTCATGTCATGTAGCCTATGTCAATAATATGCCTACCGTCTCGTTACTGCATTAACTCTGTAATATTCTTATCGTTGAAAATGAAAAAAAAAAAAAATAGATTGCATTATAAACTCTTGATCTGGGAAGTAAATGGTATTATCGTTTTTATTTGTTTAATTAGGAATTTATGCTGATATATATATAAATAAATAATGCATTTTCATAAAATTTCAGCCTTTAACTAATTTTTAAGATGAAATTTTCATAGCGTTTCATCTCTAGCCTGTGGTTTAGAGACAGGAGGGCAGGCGAGTGACTGATGCAGCTGGTGTCTGTGTTCGGCTCAATGGGCTCCATTCACTCAGAGCCAGGCTGGAAGAGAGGCGACTGAAGCGTCTGCTTTCTCTCTCGGGGGACACGGGCACCTCTAGGGGCCTGAACTTCCTGTCAAAGTCTCTCTCACACACGGGCTGTCTCATGATGCACTGATCCTCTTTGTGTGTCTCCCTTCCTCTCTTCCTCTCTCTGTTTAGTCTTCTTCATTCAGCTCTGATCCAAAACCTTCAGTGAGCTGCACAACTGAAGAATGTTTTTATGCATATGCACATGAAAGCTGTTACAAACAATTGACAGTGAAATTATTCTGCCTTATACCTTGTTTTAGGCAGCATCACATTTCATTTCATTTCCATCACTAGGTTGTCTGAACAAAGCCAGGAAGGATTTTTTTATTATTATTTATTTCTTGCTCAATCTCAGTGGCATCAAGATGATAATATTCATTTTATTTTAGATATATTTTTTAAATATTTAAATTTATTTTAATTTTATTTGCTCACATGGTTATCCGAGTAGCATCAGGATGGTAATATTCATTATATTTTATTATTATTTTTTTCATATATTTAATTTGATTAAAATTTGTATTTTATATTATTTTATTTGTCCACATGGTTATCACAATAGGTTCAGGATGTAAAGATTTTTATTTATGTATTTTATTTATAGTTTTTATTTGATATCTTGGTTATCTTAATAGTATCAGGATGCTATTTTTATTTATTTTTATTTGTTGTTTTATTTTATTTGCTTGCTTGTTTATCTCAGTAGCATAGCATCAGGATGGCAATATTCATTTTATACTATAAATAATGATTTTTTTTAAATATTAACTTTTTATTTTGTTTTGTTTTGTTTGTTTGTTTATTTTTATTTATGGTTTTATTTTATTTACTCACTTCCCAATAGTGTCAGGATTATTATTTTATTGATGATATTTTAATTTAAAATGTATTTATATTTATTTGTTTTGTTTTATTTTGCTCACTTGGTTTTCATTTGTAGCATCAGGATGTTAATTTTTTACTTTACAAATAAGATAAATATCATTGTATATCATTGTATATCATTGTAAATATTTTTCATTGAATTTTATTGATTGATTGATTGGTTTCTATCTCTGTAGAATAAAGATTCTGCCTGAGAAGTTTGCTGCCTATATAGACAGACACTGAGGTGGCTCACTTTTTTTCCTCAGTTTCTCTATTTCACGTTCTAAAGTTCTCTTATATAATTAATAACCTGTAGCGGTTGTGCATTATTGTGGTGTGTTTAGCCACCTGTTAGCCAGGCTTTGAAATTCCAAATCACAGCAGTCTGAGCTGAGCTCATATGATCATTTGTGTCTTTAAGTGTGCATTTCCTCGAGTGTGTGTGAGAGAAAGCTCAGAACGATGTCATCTGGTACAGTGTTCTTCCTACTAAGATAAGAGCTTGATCTGTGGCGCTTTGTGACTCGTATGCGCATTAGGGACATATTCTCAACCATTTCCTCTTCCTCTTTCTCTAGGCATTACTCTGCTCTCCTATCGTGGCAGTGTCTCTCTCTCTCCATGTATTGTTTGTTGTGTAATTGGATTGGCTTCTTGTGGGACTATCAGAACGCCAGCATATGGGATTTGATGTGCGGATCTGGTTGTCTGGAGTGTGTGCAGATGAGCGGAAGCTGTGCTGGCTCATGGCTTTTTCAAGTTTGCCTGACTTTGTTGAGATGTCGCTTTATGTATATAGTCTGTAGAAATGTTTGATGTGTATACAGTAATTAAAGCTCTGTTAGACAGAGAGAAATGTATGCGTTCTTACATGCATTATCATACATGGATTATTTGTGGCACAATGGTGATTACCGTTGAGTGTGTTTTATACACACTACTGTTCAAAAGTTTGGGTCTGCAAGATTTTTAAATGTTTTTAAAAAGAAGCCTCTTCGGCTCACCAAGGCAGTAATATTGTGAAATAGTGTTACAGTTTAAAATAACTGATTTCTGTTGTTTTATATTGTGACACTTTAATTTATTCCTGTGTTCAAATCTGAATTTTCAGCATCATTACACCAGTCTTCAGTGTCACATGATCCTTCAGAAATCATTCTAATATGGTGATTTGCTGCTCAAGAAACATTTCTGATTATTATCAATGTTGAAAACAGTTGTGCTGCTATTTTTATACACAAAAGAACAACTTTATATGAAATAGAATTCATTTAAAAACAAGTTATTTTAAAAAGAAATGCTTTGCTGTGTAAAACATTAATTTCTTAAAAAAGAAAAACAAAACTTATGAACGGTAGTAGTATAATGGAAATTAGAAATATTAGAACTAATATTTAGAAAAATAACATAATTAGAAATATAATTAGAAATAATAATAATAATAAAAATAAATGAGTACTAAAATGACTAAAACTTAAAAGTAAATTAATGCTAAATAGAATATAAAATTATAAACCAAATAAACCAAAACTAAAAATATATAAAAACTAATAACTAATAATGACTAAAACTTAATTTTTTTAAAAAAGAAATGTAAATCACAAAAATAAAGGCTAATTCAACGTGAATAAATACTGTAGTAGTAGTATTCTTAGTGTAGGAGCTCTTTTAAACAGTTGTCACACAAATGTCATGTGGCAGTTGTTTGCTTGTGTTTATCTGGTGCTTTTTTTAAATAACTTATGATTGTTGGTTTGCATGCGTGTAATTGCAGGTACACAGAGTGTTTCTCAGACTCGCCATCTAAAAGGACGTGCATTGAAATGTTTTTGTCATGTAGTGCTGCAGAGGTGTTAAATTCAGATTCAGGGAAAGAGAGAGATTACAGAGAGAAATGTCTGCTTTGTGTTTCTCTCTCTGTGTGTGTATGGTTTCAAAAGACCCATGTTGAGAATATTGTGTAATTACTCTCTCTCTGCTGATAGCAGAGAGAAACAGCATATGTGAGAATGAAGGTGAGAGTCCGACCGAGACCGAAATAGAGACAGTAATTAACCCTCACAGGTCTCGCTCCCTTCTCGTCCTCTGCTGTCTCTCTGTCACTGGGTCATGTGGGTCATTCAGGGTCACTGAGAAACACTGTGTGGAACGTCATCGGCAGCGGCCCGGGAAGATGAACACGCCGGTAAAACTCAACTCCTAGAACATCCATCTGTTTACTAAAGGCATCACACACTTCCTGAAGGAAGTACCAGTGTTTGTAGGGCAGCAATGAGTGTTAAGATGAATATGGATGGTGATTTTTACTGCCAAGCCAGAAAAATACATTCAAGCACCATTAAAGTAATTAAAGTGGCTATTCACTGAAAATGTCGATTTAAAAACATTCGAACACTTTGCATTCAGTCACGATGTTTTGGGTGCTTGTATGTGTCAAATTGGAGCCGCTGTTTGTTGCTGAGCTGCTGTTGTTTGTTGTGTGGTTAGTTATTGCATTGCTGCAGCATCTATAACTCTCTCTCTCTCACACACCAAGCAGAAATTGATGCCATGTGTCTCACTACAGTGTTTTATGTTCTCTGTCCGCAGCAATCTATAACTATGATGCTCGCAGTGATGAAGAGCTGTCCTTACAGATCGGAGACACTGTACACATTCTGGAGACTTACGAAGGTGAAACACACACACACACACACACACACACACACGTTTACTTAGCTGTCTAAACGGGGACATTACATAGACTTCTATTGTTTTTATATACAGATAGTTATACAATTTTTAACCTAAACCCACCTCTAACCCTACCCCTCACAGTTTCAGAATCAGAATCAGAAAGAGCTTTATTGCCAAGTATGTTTGCACATACAAGGAATTTGTTATAGTGTCACAAGCTTCCAGTACACGGAGACAACAACAACACACAGATAATAAAAATAAGATGTGAATAAAATACACATGCATAAATATAAACCACAAAAAAAGAATAAATTGTATGTACAGGTGTGCTATAGATAGAATAGGAATAGAATAAAATAAAATAAAATAAAGTTGTAGGGATGTACTAGGATTTAGGGTGATAAATAAGTATAAGGTTATTGCACATACTGTACTTTAATTGCACAATGGGAGAACATTAACTGTTCATAAGGTAGATTGCCTGGGGAAAGAAACTGTTCTTGTGCCTGGCTGTCCTGGTATTCGGTGCTCTGTAACACCGACCAGATGGCAAAAGTTCAAAAAGGAGATGGCTTGGATGTGATGGATCCAGAGTGATTTTCTGAGCCCTTTTCCTCACTCTGGATGTATACAGTTCTTGGAGGGTAGGCAGGGGGGCACCAATAATCCTTTCAGCAGTCCGAACCGTTCTCTGTAGTCTTCTGATGTCTGATTTTGTAGCTGAACCAAACCAGACAGTTATTGAAGTGCACAGAACAGACTCAATGACGGCTGAGTAGAACTGCTTCAGCAGCTCCTGTGGCAGGTTGAATTTCCTCAGCTGGCGAAGGAAGTACAACCTCTGCTGGGCCTTTTTAACAGTGGAGTCAATGTGAGTGTCCCACTTCAGGTCCTGAGAGATGGTGGTGCCCAGGAACCTGAATGACTCCACTGTCGTTACAGTGCTATCCATGATGGTGAGTGGGGGGAGTGCAGGGGGGTTCCTCCTGAAGTCCACGATCATCTCCACTGTTTTGAGGGTGTTCAGCTCCAGGTTGTTAAGACTGCACCAGACAGCCAGCTCTTTAACCTCCTGTCTGTAAGCAGACTCGTCTCCATCCTTGATGAGACCGATGACTGTAGTGTCATCTGCATCTGCGCGTCCTGAAGCGCTTGATCAGCGCAGCTGCTCCGCCAAGTACAACGTTCAGCAAAACGTCCGAATAAACGAAATCCGGTAGAAGATTGTGTGGTGTGTTCTGCCGAATGTTCAGCAGCTCATCCCTGGTAAAACTGATCGTGTTTGAGAAACAAAAAACAGGAAAAACTAACAAAAACAGTACAAACACTGGAGAACCAAACACTGAGGCTGCCGTCTGCGGCGCCATCGCATCGGTATATCGATGGCGATTTTTGTTTCTGCATTGTTACAATTTCAAAAAAACTTTGTTTATTTTTATACCAGTTTTACAAATGCGGACGTCCCCAAATGGAGGTTTTTGGCGATTTTGTCAGGTTTTGCTCACTTTTGGGTACAAATTTGTCCCCAAAATATGGTTAAGTAGGTACACACACACACACACACGCACGCACACACACACGCACGCACACACACAGATTCTTTATGTTGTAACTAGATATGACACAGCAAAGCATTAATATGAAAAGAAAATTATTCAAGCTCAACCATTTAAGCCTTCATCAAAGCTATTTTAAGAAAAAATTGATTGATCAATAAGGATTTATTTCAATTATGGGAAAAAATATCAATAACTACAAAGCCAAATAATTTATTTTATGTTGTTATCTGTTTTTATTTTAAATGTAATTTATTTTTACATTTAATTAAATTTAACTTTTTAGGACACAGATATGTCATCATCAGAGCTTTCCTCTCTCCGATCTCAATAACACACTTCAGTTGAATGATTTGTTTGTACCTTGTGGACACCTCACTTTATTTCTCCAGGAGATTTATGAAACATGTCTTTTATAATCTCAGAATATTGTTTTCTAGTTGTGCTATAGGGACACAGTGGCGTCTCTCTGTAATCTAATTGTTGGCATTTCCGTCTGACTGCTGTGATATTTCTTGCTCTTTCTCAGGATGGTATCGAGGGTATCGGCTGAGGAGAAAATCGAAGAAGGTGAGTTACTGTATGAAACGCTTCCAGAGTACAGTCAGCTTTCTTCAATACACTCATTCAGCAGGCCTCAACTTGAATTTTCCTTTGTTTCCTCTATGTACAGGGCGTGTTTCCGGCTTGTTACATAAATCTGAAGGAGGCCACTGTTGAAGGCAATGGGTCAGTATGTTCATTTAGATTCCTGAAAGTTTGCAGTTAGTTGAATGTGAAATAAAGCATTAGCAACATCTTAGCAGACATTAGCTCTCTTTCCAGACAAACTCATTTCGGCCAGATTGCAAATTCTTCGTGGGGAAAGCAATCCCAGGATTTGTTGTGACGAACTCAACGGGAGAAAAGTTGACTATAAATCTGCTTATGTTTCATTCTCTACTCAAAAGTACTAGATGTAGTTTAGTTAGTTTGTCCAATTAAAAATGGATTAATTACCAGTGCAGAGCAGTGCAGATTTAGAGTATTGTGACATTAGCTTATTAGCTTAACAGTTGTGAGTCATGTCTCCCATGTGCAAAGTGAAGTGTATTTGAGAATTTTATTTTATTTTTTTATTTTATTTTATATATTTTTTGTTTTTTATTTTTTGTTTTATTTTTTATTATTTGTTTTGTTTATATTTTTTGTCTATTTTTGATCATTGCTAAAAAAAATTATAAATTCATGCAAATAATTATTTTAAAATAATATAATGGAAAAATGGCAAACCTCATATGAAATTCATATTTATATAATATTTCATTTATCCACAACATTTTCTGAAGGTTACGTAACATTTCTCAGTGATCATTTGTTAAGAAAAAAATATCTATCTATCTCTTATATAATTTTTTTTTTTATTTTTATTTTTTTAAATATTGTTATTTTTAATATTATTTTACTATTTTGTTTTTGTTTTTTTGTTTATAATTTTGTCTATTTTTGTTTGTTTATTTAATGTTGCTAAAAATACAAATTAATGCAAACCATGGTTTTAAAATGTTATGAAATTCATTTTATATGAGGTTTTCCATTTTTTGCATATTTAATATTTATATAATATTTAATTTGTCCTTGGCATTTTCTGAAGGTTAAGTGCCATCTCTATCTCTTAAGTGCTCATTTGCTAAGAAAAAAAACCTTCTCTTATATATTTCATAATTTAAGAGTTTCACACTCTATTTAGTGCCCTATTCATGTAAAGACCCATAAACTCCTCGTTCCCCCTCCATTTCTGTCACCTCTCACCATTTTAAGACCTTTAAACACAGATATTTTCTTATCTGATTTTGTGAGTCTCTACTATGGTTAGGATGCTGTTTTTCAAGGCAGTTCCCTATGTAGGTAGCTTACTATGTTTTGGAACATCCCATTAAACTTTACGCTCATTTGCTGCATCTGAAGATCCTGTTACTTTTGTTATTGTTCTGATTGTATCAGTGTTGCTCCCTGAAACCAGCCTGAGCGCAGATAACAATATTCTTCCCATAGACGTCTTACTAAGTTAGCGCCTCAGCAGCCCATTGCTAGCCTAATGGGAGATTTTGTAGTTCGAAATGGATTTTCAAGCGTGGTTCAGGAATATAATATGCACGAGTTTGGTGTGAGTGTGTGAGAGTAATTGGAATCGTGACCAAAGCCCAGCTCAGATTTCTTAACAGCTCTTTTGATGACTGATGCTGGTAATTAGTTTTCATTGGCATGAAGGGATCTGAATGACTCGGCGTCCTCAGGAGCCTGTAGTAAGCAGGAATTACTGACGTGAATGCAGTGAGATGCAGTTAATCAGCCTGTTTTTCCCACACATGCGATATTCTTGGAAAACTCCTTCACTTATTGTGCTGTTTCTGTTTTGCACTCTATCACTGTTCATTTAGACAAAAGGAGACGGTCATTCCTACTGAGATTCCGCTCATTCATGAGGTCACGACTACATTGCGAGAATGGGCGGCAATATGGAGGGACCTATATGTGGTAAGCTTGCGTTTATTCCAAATTTATGTATTATTTCCCAAAAGTTGCACACTCTTCCTCTGCACACTTAAAAGCATGCGGTGTTGCTCCAAAGAGTACATGGTTATAAAGCATGTCATAAGTGGACAAATTAGGACGTGGCAGATGTCAGAATTATGACATCATCAGACTAACACAGTCAGCATGATGACATCATCAACTTAGCAGCATATATTTAACCTTCAGTATTTAATATATAATTAATTTTGTGATTTGTTAAAGTATATCCACACCAAAAAAAAAATATATTTTTTTTATTTGGAGAAAAATTGGACTTTAAACATCTTATACAAGGTTTTTCTGTCATATTAACCAAGACAAGACTGCTAAGCGCCTGGCAAAATCTAAAATTTATTTTATCTCATTTTATACTCTCATTTTATTTAGCATTTTTATTTCATGTAAATTGTCTTTTTATTTTTTTGGATGTTTACTTAATATTTATTCCTTGAACACAAATGATAAATCAATGAAACGTTGAACATCAATCTGTTTTTCACCATGAAAATATCCTGACATGCTGACATGGTGTTAAAGGGATAGTTCACCCCAAAATGAAAACTGCCCCATGATTCACTCACCCTCAAGCCATCCTAGGTGTACATGACTTTCTTCTTTCAGACGATTACAAGCAGAGTTATATTAAAAATGTCCTGGTTAGGGATGTAAAGATTAACCGCGAGCCGGTTGAAAATCGATTCAAATATGTGACGATTCAAATTGGTGCTTCCAAACTTTATTATAGCAGTGAATGGCGGGTCGAGATTTTGAAACCCAAAAAAGTGCATCTATCCATCATAAAAAGTCCTCCACACGGCTGCGGGGGTTAATCAAGGCCTTCTGAAGCAAATCGATGTGTTTGTGTAAGATCAAACTTTATCAACTGTAATCTCTAGCTTCCGCTAACTCTCGTACGCTCGTTCACGAGAGAGTGCCGTTCCAGCTGAGAATATGCTAGCCTCACAAGAACCAAGTTTTGTTCTTCTCTTGGCTTATATCGAAATTCTCAGACATTTTTCTTTACAAGTCCTCGTTTTGTACTACCAATTTGTGACCGGTGTTTTGTTTTGCTCTCTCCTCTGCGCTTCCATGTTCATCACTTCTCACCGGCGCTTACACCATGCTTGCGTCCTACGTCATCCGCTGGAAGCTAGAGATTACGGTTGATAAAGTTTTAAATATGGATATTTTTCTTACACAAACGCATCACTTCGCTTCAGAAGGCCTTTGTTAACCCCCCGGAGCTGAGTGGAGTATACTTTATGATGCATTTTTTTGGGCTTCAAAATCTCGTCCCCCGTTCTCTGCCATTATAAAGCTTGGAATACAATTTTAAACATCTTTTACTGTATCAATTTTTATGGCCCTTATATTTCCTATTTGAGCCAATGCATATTATGAATGAAGTTATTTCAGGAAGAGACTGCCCTGATTGAAAAGTAAAACGTGATTGGTTATAGCGAGAACGTGCTACGATTGGTCAGCGAAGTGTGGCTGTTATCTGATTGGCTTGAGTAGACGGTGGGTGGAGTCCACGCATTTGTAGATTGTCAGCGTCTTGACGCAAGAAATGTTTTAAAATCCACAAATGCACAGTGAGCGATCCACAAATGTGTGCAGCGATCTACAAATGTACAGGATGCGATTCACAAATGAATGGCAGGCAAAGTTGTGTTTGTGACATAAAAATGTATTTGTGAATGTTTTTTATTTGCAAATCTCATTTTATTTATTTCTGAATTTAATTAATGTTTGTGAAACCCTGAGATTTATTTGTTTATGTCATTCTATTTATTTGTCAATATGTTTAATTTTTTGTAAATCTCTTTACATTTATTTGTGGATCATAATCTATTTATTTGAAATAATGCAACAATTCTACACCCATACTTTCTGCCTGGGGGTGAGATGTTGAAAAGCTCTGACATGATATTCAAATTAAAAAGAAAAGTTTGTTTTCAAACCTTTTTGAAAAGTGTCTCACTGAAAGTTTATAAACTCTTTTAATTGCATAAACATGCAATATGACCCTCTGGGGCTCTTTGTCTACAGTGATTAAGAGCATCCGCCTTTATGCAGCAGCATGTGCTTTGACGAATTAATTAACACGCTTTGCAGGGTTTTAATCAGACTTTTTGTTTCCAACAGGGCGACAAGCGTGAGATGTTCAACACGGTCCGAGACATGATCTACGACTTGATCGAATGGCGCTCCCAGATCCTGTCCGGCACGCTCCCGCAGGACGAGCTGTCCGAGCTCAAACAGAAAGTCACCTCTAAGATGGACTACGGGAACAAGTATGAACACATACACACTTAAGCTGCTGACTCGTGCTGATCGGGTCGTGAGCTGGAAGTCACGACTGCAGTCCGTTTCATAGAATCTGACTTTTAATGAGAGCGTTTTATTGCTCTTCATTTTTATTCAGGGTCTGTTTTTGCTATGAAGGGTCATTGTGAAAGACTTGCAGCACTTCAGATTTCAGCACTTTATCCGCTTTCATTTGGGGAAGAAAAGAAAAGATGATATTAATCAGCAGTGTGTGCTGTTATTTGGAGTTAAAAGTTTAATTCCTTAACTCTAAGTATTAAATGGTGACGCTATTAGATGATTCTCATCTGGCAAACAATAAAACAAGTAGACTTGCATTGAAGGACCAGTAAGTATACAAGAACACCCTAGTAAATCCCTAGAACACCCTGGCAATCATCCACAACACCTGGTGGTGTGTTTTTGCATGTGCACTGTAGGCATTTTCAGAAAATCTTCAGGAAACTCACAAAAATTGATAAATGGATAGTTCACCTAAAAATTTAAATTTGCTGTTAATTTACCCTCAGGCCATCCAAGAAGTAGGTGACTTTTTTTTTCTTCAGTAGAACAGTAAAGAAGATTTTAGCTGAAACTGTGGTGCTTGGTGATTCATAAAATGCAAGTCAGTGGCTTCCAGCACTTTGAGAGTCAAAAAATACATATCAAGCAACACAAAATGAATACCCATGGCTCCTGACGATATGTTGAGGTCTTATGAAGCGCAACAATCGGTCTGTGCAAGAAACTGAACATTATTATTACCTGTAATCCAGAGTCTCAGGCAAACAGTCTTTGTTCAGCAAAAAAGTCTTTGTTAAATTGTTATAAGCCATGAACCAAACCAACCAGCTACAAGGTCATTTACAACATTACAGTGTTTTATTTGAAGCAAAAAGTATTTTAAAATCAGCCAAAAAGACAAAGGTACAAGACTATGTACTTAAGCTTGAGTGAGGGAAAGAACTACAATCCCATGAAGCATTACAAATAAAGTAATTGAATTAAAAATGGAGAAAAATAATTATATCAATAGAATTATATCTTCTATCTATAGAAACAATATATTTTTAAGTTTATTGCTAAATATGCATATGTAGAAATATTTAAATATTTTGTCTTTACCTGATTTGCTTGCTGCATCTCTCTGATTGGTGGGATTTCATGTACAGCGTATTCATGACAGCGCACACAGTGGGCATGGGTAATGTAATTTTTCACCAAATTCGGTTGTTAAATTTTATTTATTTTGAAATAATGTGAACTGACGCTTCAACAAAAGCATATACCATCATTTAACAACATCAGAACAGTTGTGTATATATATACAGTATATGTATATATATATATATATATATGTATATTGAAATTTTATTTCTGGAACCCAACCACCATTGTAGAGTTGCATCGTATCAACCAATGGTGTGAGTTTGGGGCGGGGCTAATTGTTCAGCTGATCAAAGGAAGACAGGGAAACCAATTTGAATGTATGACAGTTCCATTTAGTTATTCTAGTTGCACGCTTACAGACTTTTTTCTGCTCACTGAACACATTCAAAGCCGTCTAATAGCAGCAAGTTTATTACCTCTCTCAGAGCGTTTTGGTGTTCCTGTTAACTTTAGCAGGAGGAAGTGAGCATACAGTAGGATGATAGAGAAAAAGTCACTAGTGACACACACATGTACAACTCTCAGTTCTCAGTTCAAGTCTCTGTCTTTGTCAACTTTATTAAGTGAAAGGTTTTTTTATTTTTTTTTCTCGATACAAATCCAGAATGCCCTTAGTAACCACATAGCAACATGCTTTAAACCATTGATAACACCTACTGCTATTTCTTGAAAATCAATTGAATCTGTCTTGTTCTTTTTCTCTTATGCTCATTTTCACATTCATTTAGTAGGTAATGTCAAAGTAAATGTATCCATTTGGATTAGTAGAACACAAATCTTCATCTCTTTCAAACAACTGTTTTTCCTACACTGTTTTTGTGTGTTTGGCAGGTATTTAGATCTGGATCTGGTGGTGAGAGATAAAGACGGGAATATTCTGGATCCTGACCTGACCAGCACTGTCAATCTGTTCCGAGCACATGAAGCCGCATCCAAGCAGATTGAAGCTCGCATCCAAGAGGAGAAGGTAAACGATATTAGACTGTTTTTATCCATTATGGCACTAATTTCAAGATGCTGCTTTTTTTCTGATGTCTGTAATACATTTGGATTGAGATATTTGAATTGTTTTGTTGGTGTTATTGGATTGTGAATGTGCGAGGCCTGAGAGCCGACGGCACACTCACATTTTCTCATCACTTGCTGTGATGTTTAATAAACACCTTGAATGTTAACTGTTACTTCATATTTATATTTGGATGTGACTACTTTGTCAAGCACAACCACTAAACCACATGAAAAGTCCCTGACCGCATCTCTGAAACACCATTGCTAATGTGTGAGAGGTTACACAGGAACAGAGAGAGCGTGAGAGCGCACCATCTCACTTCCCATCTTAACTGTGGGTCTTAATGTGACACATGGCTGGGTGATATAGCTTAAAGGGGTGATATGATGAGATTTCAAGTTTTCCTTTCTCTTTGGAGTGTTACAAGCTGTTCATGAATAGATAAGATCCCTAAAGTTGCAAAGACTAAAGTCTCAAACCCAAAGAGATATTCTTTATAAAAGTTAAGACTCGTCCACGCCCTCCTAAAACGGCTAATTTAAACATGCCCCCACATGTCTACGTCACTGTGTGGGAAGATTTGCATAACACTGCCCAAATGTATACACAAAGAAAGAAGACGTAACTTTGATTCTCGCTGTAGTACTGTTGCTGCCACCGCCATATCTGGAGACGCTGTGTGTTTCGTTGTGAAAGGCCTGACACGGCATCACAGTATGGTAGGGGTGTAACATTTCCGTCACACGCTTGAGGTATTCAGCCAATCACAACGCACTGGATAGCTGGCCAATAAGAGCACACCTCGCTTTTCAGACCGATGAGCTTTGTAAAAATCTACGCGTTTCAGAAAGGCGGGGCATAGAGGAGAAACCGCATAAACACATTTCATTACACCTAATACACAAAATAATGTTCTTTTTTAGCAACGTCATATGACCCCTTTAAAAAAAGTCTCAATCAGAGGAACCCATTGCTTTCAAACAGCACAGTTTGGAAACGCACAAGTTTTGTGCAATAAATAAAGTACAGCAAAAAACTTCAAAGATTTGAAAAGCAATAAAATATATATATTTTAATATATTAATAAGTAATATATTATAAGTTTAGTTTAGTGTCCAATTCTCACTATTAACTATTTGTTTATTAGCATGCATATTACTAGCATATTGGCTGTTAATTAGTACCAAAAAATTAGTGTGACCCAAAAAAAAACAATTGTTCATATACATATTTATATAAACAATAATTAAAACATGTTTCCCACGCTGTTTTCACTGAATACACTGAATAATAATATTTGATCATTTTTGCTTATATGCACTTAACAATTCTAGCAATATACAACAATATTAACAATATTATAGTTCAATATATGTGACATACAATATGTACAATATATATTAATTCTATTTTTAGTATTTCAGTTATATTTATATTATTTTTTTTATTATTACTGTCTTTAGGCAACCTAATGGTCATTTGAAATGCTCAATAAAATCAACAAAATATTCACAACGTTTCTTAGTTTTATATCGTCAGAAAAACATTGCAAATACAGTTGTGCACATAAGTTTACATGCCCCCTGCATAATATGCAAAATGTTCATAATTTTAACAAAATAAGAGGGATCATGAAAATTGCATGTTATTTTTTATTTAGAAATAAAATAACTTGAATAAGCTATTTCACATAACAGATGTTTATATATACTCCACAAGACAAAATAATAACTGAATTTGTAAAAACGACCCCGTTCAAAATTTTACATACCCTTGAATCTTAATACTGTGTGACGTTTCCTGGATGATCCACGACTGTTTTCATGAGTCCCTTGTTTGTCCTGAACAGTTCAACTGCCTGCTGTTCTTCAGAAAAATCCTCCAGCCCCGGCACACTCTTTGGTTTTCCAGCATCTTGTACATATTTGACTGCTTTCCAACAGTGACTGTATGATTTTGAGATCCATCTTTTCACTCTGAGTACAATTGAGGGACTCCTACATAACAATTACAAAAGGTCAAAACATTTACTATCAGTCTATCTTCTTGGAAACCAGTATGACAAGAAGAAATTCTGAAAATACAACAGCACTGCTTTCCTGCCTTTCCCAGCTGACCCTACCCAGAGGTTCACTGTCCTTGAGTCTCTTTCAGCAGATACAGATTTTATATGGGATATAAATTCTTTGAGACCGACAGTCACTAACGCCTGTGTAATTAGTCTAGCTGACTTTAAGACTCAAGTTTGAAAGACTAACTGTGCTCAGATGCCATAATTTTTTATGTATTTATTTTTTCAGTCCCAGAAGCAGAACATGGATTTGAGCCGGCAGGCCAAGTTTGCCTCCACACCCTCGTTCGCCCTGTTCGTCACACTCAAGAATGTCGTGTGCAAAATCGGAGAAGATGGTACAGTATGTGGAAAATAATGTGTTTTTTGAACCTTAAACCGCATAAACACATTTCATTACACCTAATACACAAAATAATGTTCTTTTTTAGCAACGTCATATGACCCCTTTAAAAAAAGTCTCAATCAGAGGAACCCATTGCTTTCAAACAGCACAGTTTGGAAACGCACAAGTTTTGTGCAATAAATAAAGTACAGCAAAAAACTTCAAAGATTTGAAAAGCAATAAAATATATATATTTTAATATATTAATAAGTAATATATTATAAGTTTAGTTTAGTGTCCAATTCTCACTATTAACTATTTGTTTATTAGCATGCATATTACTAGCATATTGGCTGTTAATTAGTACCAAAAAATTAGTGTGACCCAAAAAAAAACAATTGTTCATATACATATTTATATAAACAATAATTAAAACATGTTTCCCACGCTGTTTTCACTGAATAAACACAAGAATAATATTTGATCATTTTTGCTTATATGCACTTAACAATTCTAGCAATATACAACAATATTAACCTACATATAGTTCAATATATGTGACATACAATATGTACAATATATATTAATTCTATTTTTAGTATTTCAGTTATATTTATATTATTTTTTTTATTATTACTGTCTTTAGGCAACCTAATGGTCATTTGAAATGCTCAATAAAATCAACAAAATATTCACAACGTTTCTTAGTTTTATATCGTCAGAAAAACATTGCAAATACAGTTGTGCACATAAGTTTACATGCCCCCTGCATAATATGCAAAATGTTCATAATTTTAACAAAATAAGAGGGATCATGAAAATTGCATGTTATTTTTTATTTAGAAATAAAATAACTTGAATAAGCTATTTCACATAACAGATGTTTATATATACTCCACAAGACAAAATAATAACTGAATTTGTAAAAACGACCCCGTTCAAAATTTTACATACCCTTGAATCTTAATACTGTGTGACGTTTCCTGGATGATCCACGACTGTTTTCATGAGTCCCTTGTTTGTCCTGAACAGTTCAACTGCCTGCTGTTCTTCAGAAAAATCCTCCAGCCCCGGCACACTCTTTGGTTTTCCAGCATCTTGTACATATTTGACTGCTTTCCAACAGTGACTGTATGATTTTGAGATCCATCTTTTCACTCTGAGTACAATTGAGGGACTCCTACATAACAATTACAAAAGGTCAAAACATTTACTATCAGTCTATCTTCTTGGAAACCAGTATGACAAGAAGAAATTCTGAAAATACAACAGCACTGCTTTCCTGCCTTTCCCAGCTGACCCTACCCAGAGGTTCACTGTCCTTGAGTCTCTTTCAGCAGATACAGATTTTATATGGGATATAAATTCTTTGAGACCGACAGTCACTAACGCCTGTGTAATTAGTCTAGCTGACTTTAAGACTCAAGTTTGAAAGACTAACTGTGCTCAGATGCCATAATTTTTTATGTATTTATTTTTTCAGTCCCAGAAGCAGAACATGGATTTGAGCCGGCAGGCCAAGTTTGCCTCCACACCCTCGTTCGCCCTGTTCGTCACACTCAAGAATGTCGTGTGCAAAATCGGAGAAGATGCAGAAGTGCTGATGTCGCTATACGACCCGATTGAGTCCAAGTTTATCAGGTCAGTGCACACACAAACTCAAACTTATAGATGTGTATTCACATCCTAAACATTGCTGCTGTCAAATAGAACTTTGTTCAGAGATTAAGATTTTTTTTTTTTTTTTTTTTGTTTAAGTTTTTTTAACACCAACTGAATTCAACTGAATTCTGGGTGTTCTGGCTTAGATTTAATAGTTACGAAAGATTCTGAAATATATTGTGAGCTGATCATCTTTTTCAGCTTGTCCCTAACCCTTTGCTATTTTATTTATTCATGTCTTCCTTTGTGTTTTAAGGTAAACATCTGTGATCAAACATATATATTTTATTATTTTTTAAATTTATTTAGATTTTTTTGTATCTAAATGTTATTATACATTTTTATATTATTATAATTTTTTTAATATTTGTAATATTATTTAAATCAATTGTAATAATTTGACAATAGTTTGACCCTCATTTGAGAGCCTCAGTGACCAGTAACCATGATGTTTCACATCCTCAGTAGTAAATCAACCACAGTGATTGTGCCATGCACACAGTTCTCAGTGATTCGTTTCAGCAGTAAATGATATTGTTATACTCTAGTATGTTATTACGTTTATCGGTATATGTATTCATTGGGAATCAGTCCTATGTTCTTGACATTGCTGCTGTACTGTAAAAATAATGCCATTTAATATCTGTTGTTTTTACATTCTTGCAGTGAAAACTATCTTGTGCGCTGGTCCAGTTCAGGTTTGGCTAAAGACATCGATCAGCTCCATAACCTGCGTGCCGTATTCACTGTATGTATTATTTTGGGCTTTACTTTTGACACTTTTTTTTCAGGATTATCATAGAGAGATGGAGAAATTATATTGGGACATGATGCAGACCTGTATCACCCACATGAGCACCACGACTCATTGATAGCTACTTTTTAATCTGGAACTCAAATGCAACTACGTACATGATTGATTTAAAACTCTTTATAGGTATTAATACCAGTAAGGTGTGCATCACATAATATGAGCAGAATCACATATGAGATGGGACTAATGCTAAATTGCTTGATGCTTGTAGTTCTAGCTAGACAAATCCAGTAAATGTAACGTGCAAATATTGGGTTAAATAGTTAGTTAAAACTATTTGTGTCTGTACTTTTCTCTTCCAGTGTTATTATAGTTTTATTTATATAACGTTATATTTTTGAATTCACCCCACCACCCCCACCCCAGTTTTTCATTTTAATTTGTGCTTTTTATTTTTATTTTATTTTATTTTATTTTATTTATAATTTTTAGTTTGTTTAAGTTTTGGCTCAGTTTTAGTTGTTAATTTTCCAGTTAGTTGTTTTAGTGCTTTAACTTAACATTATTTCAGTTAGTTTCAAAGGCAGCATTTCTAATTTTCATTTAAATCCCTTTCAGTTTTTCATCTAATATTTATATTATTTTATTTCAGCTTTATTTTAATGAACAATAATGTTTTTAATAGTTTTAGTTTTAGTTAACGAAAGCAATCCTGTTCTGTGCTAAAAATGCATGCAATGCTGTATTAAAAGTTGGCTGAAAATGTGGGAGCCTGATAATGAGATGTTTTAAAATGGTATCTAGGTGGTCAGCTAACTAGGTTTCTAACTGTGCTAATTTGTGCCACCTGTACAAACCGCTAGACCACACGAATCTATTTACATGCACGACCTAATTGTTTGATTTGAACACTCAAATATTTCCTCCAATGCTTCAGTACCAGCTAGTTCCTAGAAACACCGTCATGTAAATGACTCATTTACGGCTTGATTCCGTTCATCTGTTCCCGTCTCTCGCTTTGTTCCTTAATGAGTAATCACGGTATTATTGGGTGACACTTTAATTCGTGTTCATCAGTCGTGTTGCAGAATTGGTAATTAAAGTGTTGGAGAAAGCAGCAGTATCATTAAAGCTGTAAAGGATAACGAGCCAATGGTTGTTAGAGGAGGAAGCTCAACGGAGACGCCGCCTGGTTTGCATTGTTGCATGTATTGTGTGCATCCATGTACGTGCGTTGGTGTCTACAGGTAATTTAACACAAAAAACAATTATCTGTGCTGTGAAAAACATATAATGAATGTGAATCGTATTGAAGTTCTTGTGTTGCTCACACACTGTTAGCATATTTGTTTGTTTTTAATTGCATGCATTTTGTGTATTTGCATGTGCATAATTTATAATTCTAGAGCATATGCACTGGTTTGTTCACGTGTTGGTGCATGTTTGCACCCACACGTTTTCATTTGCTAGAGGTCATTTCTTTAATAGATTCTGGGCTGGTGAGGGTCAGTTTATTTTCCCAGAATCCTCTGCTCTTTGCACAAACCCCCAGCGGGGAATGAGTTGCTGCCCCCAATCAAAAGCTGCTTGAGCAATTTACCCTTCACTCAGACAGCGTACTAACAGTCTGTGTACACTGAACCAATCCATGCATCAGTCGTCGCCTTCCTGAATAGTTGCTCAACTAACGAGTTTGACTTTAACTTGATGGTTGTAGACAGAAACACCTGGTGCATGGCCAATAGCGCTTGGGGGCTCAAAATAATATGTGCAGTTTGAGTTCATGATTGTGCATGCTTTTTTACACTCTTGCTTGTGTGTTTGTGCGTTTCTCTCCAGGATTTGGGGAGCGAAGACCTGAAGAGGGACAAAATCAGTTTTGTTTGTCAGATCGTTCGAGTGGGCCGGATGGAGCTCAGAGATAACAACACTAAGAAACTAACATCCGGCCTCCGCAGACCCTTCGGTGTGGCAGGTAGAGTCTCACATATAACACGTGATGCACACTTAGCATGGAAACCATAGTGTCCTTCAAAATACCACCAGGAATTTACATGGACACATTTGGCGGATGCTTATATCCAAAGTGATTATAAATGACCCATTCATCTACGGAAACACAAACCATACAGCCATTGTTTCTACTGTAAAACTATAAGAATGAGATATTTTTATTAGATAAAATTGAATTTAACATTCACTAAATTCAGATTTTCTGACATTACCATATTCAGTAAATTCGTTTTTTTTTACTTTTATTTTATATTTTATTATGTTTATAATTTTATTTTGTTTTATTCTTTTATAATTATTCTTTTTTCTTTGTTACAATTGTAAACCTATAAGAATGAGATGTTTTTATTATATATAATTAAATTTAACATTTAACTTTTTGAGTGTTTGTTTTTGTTTTTGTTTTTATTTTACTTAATTTTTTTAAATCATTTTAGATTTTGTTGTTATTTTTATTTTTAATTGTTATATTTTATTTCTATTATTTTATTTAATTTCATTATTAATACTGTAAACCCATAAGAATCTCACATTTATTAGATACAATTAAATTTAACATATTCACTAAATTCAGACTTTCTGTTTGTTTATTTGTTTTTTGTTGATATATTATTTTTTTAGTATATGTTGTATTATAGTTTAGTTTAGTGACAATGACAGCTAATACTAAGTTGCCACACTTTGGGCTGAAAGATTTCTTGGTCTTTTTCTTGTTTTAAATTACAAGTAGCAGGTGTTCTGTGTTGAGCTCTGTTTTTATTTGTAATATTTATTTGAGTGATTGCATATACCTTCAAGTATAATTGTTTAAGCCTTATGTGAAATCAACTGGAATAATATATTGCATATAAGCTTTGCTATATGCGATACAGAAGGTGGTGCAACAATCTCTCTGCGTTCATGCATTTTTAATGCCTTCAAAACAAACATGGCCTTTGCACTGATTTTGTCTGCCTGGAGTTAAATATTATTACATCTACAATCACAGTATACTTCAGAAGCCTTGATCTGGTTGGAGTGAAGTGACCCTAACATTTGTGTCTATTGTAACTGTTACTGTTGGTAATTCCTAATGCTAAGGTTGATTATTGTGCAATGCGTTGCTCGCAGTTTGTTGTCTGTTGTTGTGCAGAAAGGGTTTCTCCTTTAGTTTCATGGAAAAAGGCAAATCTGTTCTTCTGTTGTAAATAAATAAATAAGGCCGAACAGGAGAATGAGAGTGGACATGCAGCCTTTGGTTTGAGCATCAAACGGGTTTTGAAGTGGGAAAGCATCTCTCTTTCTCTCTCTCTCTCTCTGTGTGTCTGTACGGCCGCTAGCAGTATGTCTGTATGTGGGTCAGGCAGGTAGAGGCAGAACCTGTATGTGCAATGTCACCTTTAATGTGTCACATTCAGAGACAAGCCAACGCTTCCATTATGGCTCATCAGTTTCCTGTTTCCTGCTGTAAACCCAATCTCAGCACGGCCACTGCTGCACACCAGGCCAAATGGCCATTTAGAGGCGATGTTTATGTGTTCAGTCAGTCTTTTATTTTATTTTTTTATATTTGCATAATGCAATTTAAGTAATTTATCACTTTTTGCATTATAGTAATGGGAATTTGGCTAAATAAGATCAATTTTGATTAAAATCTGGACACCGTGATTTTTAATCAGCATATATTTAAGTAAATTGAATTACATTTTTACATTGTTATATTATACATAAATAAATAACATTCATATAATACAATATTCATATAATAATTATTTTTATGTTATTTAATTATTTTGTTCTATTATATCAAATAGAATAGATTACATAATATAATTACTTTTATTACTACCTCTTTTATAATTTAATTAATTACTGTTGTTTGAGGTATATGGAAAGGTATCATGCATCAAAAATGTGAATTTGCTGAGACAGTCTGTAAAGTAAATGACAAAAACTGTTAGAATACAATGGTCTTTTTAAAAAAATATATATTTTTTTCCTTTTGATTTTGGGATGAAATGTGAGATGGTTATTTTTCATGAGATTCATCCATAGTTGCTGAGACATGATGTTTGATTGAGCAGACATTATTCCCATCTCATTCTTCTCTCTACAGTAATGGACGTCACAGACATCATCACGGGCAAGATGGACGACGAGGACAAGCAGCACTTCATACCCTTCCAGCCGTAAGTATGACTTCATGACGCCAACACAACAGCCTTTATGATGGTAATAACATAACATCACGAAAATGACTTATTGTGAAACAGTTTTGACCTCCAGTCAAGTGCATGAAACACTTGCTAGTTAGGCAGATCAAAAGGTAGTTTGTTAGGTATCGTGTAGTCATGCATATGAATGTTACGTTTGTTTGCGTTGTCTGTTTTTCTGATTTCTGCTGTATCAGTTCAATGATCTGTGTATTTATTCATTGAAGACAACAGTACACAAACTCACTCTTATTCTGTAGGTGATCCATATGTGCCTCACAGTCACTCACTCACTTGTTCATTCTGTCACTCAGTAAGACTATACTTCAGTCTTTCTCTGCTTTGCCACTCTCACAGCCCAGCCGGGTCACTCAGAGAGGAGTCCAGGGGTTTGCTGGGAATTGTGGGGTGTTTAAGATGCGTGTTTTCACTTCAGGGAGGTTTTTGCTTTGTAGCAGCTTATTTGTGACTTTAGATTAGCTCTGGTCCAAAACCTAGTGAACTCTCTTGCTGTCTACTGCTGCCTACATAGGCAGCTACATTTTAAGGCAGCATCCTAACTTAAACCGAACCTTGTGACTGATTTGAATGCTTCTTATAGGCAGCAACAAATAGCAAGTCAATAATAATAATAATAATAATAATAATAATAAATAAAACAGTATATATAATTATTTAAAATATGCTATTTTAAAAATTAGATTGAATTACAATTTGTACATCATATATAATAATATAAAATATTTTAATTAGTAAGAATTATTTCAAGTTAAAATGTATTATTTTGTTATTATCAACAATAATATAGAAATGTTTAAATAATGATAATACAATATAAGTAATACAATTTATTTTTACATTATAATATACACATTTAAATGTCTAAATAATAATAAATAATTAATGATGATAAAAGTTAAAAATGGTATGTTATTATATATTATTTAAAATATATTTAAAGAATTACACTGAATTAAAATGTGTACATTTTATATAATAATAATATACAATTTTTTATATATGGTATTATATATAATATAACAATTTATATATGCAATATAATATATTTTAATAATAATATTATGTAATAGTAATACTAATAATAATAATAATAAATGGGCCAGACAATTATAATAAATTAGTATTTGTAAGTAAATTGAATTACATTTTTACACTGAGTAAATCAATTTTCATATAATACAATATTCATATAATATTTGTTATTTAATTGTATTAATCAAATATAAGTACAAATGTATTTTTAAAGTACATTTTATTTATAATCAATACATTTTACCCTGTTCATCATCTTGGATGAATTATGTGCTATAATTGCTTAGCTTTACTATAATTACTATTGTAATTAGGTATCATTCATCTGTAGTGCGCCTTTTTATATCTTTATTATTAAGGCAGCTCACTAGGTTTTGGGTCTTTTTTAGAGGCAGTGGCTTCATCTGTGTTTGGGTGAGATGGAGGGTGATTTCTGAAATTACAGCATCTCTCTGTGTCTCTTCTGTCACCCATCCCGCATTACTGTTTGCTAACAAAATGGCTTTTGTCCCTGTCATGGTATCTGTATCACTGTTTGGTGTCTTCCCTCTCTCTCCCTCTTGCTTTCTTCATCCTTCTCTTCTTCTGCTCATGTCCACCCTTATCTGGCTCTCTGTGGCTACTACTTTTCTCTCTTTCTCTTCCTTCTCTCTCTCTCTCCTCCCCGTTGGCTTGTTGCCTGTCGCGTGTGAACTCCAGGCTAGCGTTGGATGACGCCATTCGCCACAGGCAGCTGAACATCTCCCGTTTTTCACCCAGGGTGGCGGGCGAGAACGACTTCCTCCAGACCGTCATTAACAAGGTCATCGCTGCCAAAGAGGTCAATCACAAAGGTCAAGGTAAAGGTCACAGGGGTGAACACCTTTCATCTCCAGAGCTGCTCTGAGAGTCACTTAAGCAGCATTTCAACACTTAATAAAAAAAAACAAACCCTATTATCATGTATCTTATGATGCTTGGAATTATGCATTTCTATGGCAACACTATCAACACCTAAACATTGCAGCTAAATGAATCTGAGGCGGTCAGGTGGTAAAGTGGTCACATGGTAGACGTCGTAGCTCTTTGGAAATTCCCAATTTAAGTTTTTATAACGAGTTCTATGAGGACGTAAACGCTTTTTACGAGTTGGTATCTTGTAATAACGGTAATTACGACATGTCGTGAATGCACCTATAAACGTCTTCACGGCAAACTGCCAAAATAAAAGTTTGGTTCAGCGTGAAGAAATTGCGACCAATATATTACTATTGTACAGTAGAATGTACTTCTCAAAGTAATAATACAATTACTAAAACATTTTTTAAGGAATATTGCATAATTTTTCTTTCCATGCTTTTATTTTCAACAGTAAACCTCTTTTGTGCAGCACTTTGTTTGTCAACAATAAAATGAATTGTTACATTTTTATTTCCTTACATTTTAAAGATCAGTTTAATTGTTAATATTTTATGCTTTCATATAATTGCAACCATTTTGGATAATAAACCTGTAAATCTGGAAAAATTTGAACGGACAACACAGAATTTCTGAAAAAGAAAATTATTGTACACATTTTAATTAATTATTAAATTAAGGTTTTATGAATTTAATTGATTAGACATGCTTTTTAAATTATTTACATTTAATTAAACCATTAAAATGTAATCCAAATAAATTAAAATCGAAAACACAAAATAAAACGATTTCATAGGACTCAAAAACTTATTTCTGTTTAACTTTTAACAAATCGTTATTAAATTGTATAAGTGTCATGATTTCAATAAATTAGACACAACTTTTCATTACTAAAATTGAAATTAACCATTAAAACAGAATCATAGGGCCCTATCATTAAAATTAATTATTAAATTGTTAAAGTTTAATGAATCCAATTTATTAAACGTTTCTTGTTATCAAAATTTAATTAGACCATTAAAACATACAACACAGAATTTGTGAAAAATAAAACAGAATTTGTGAAAAATAAAGCTGATTTCACAGGGCCCTAAAATGTAACTTAATAAATTGTTGTGGTATTGTATGTTTCATTATTTCAATTAATTAGACATGCTTTTTGATTATTTTTTTAACAATTAAAACCGAATTCAGAAACATTAAAACAGAAAAATGAATTTGGGAAATATAAAATAAAACAGATTTTCTAGGGCCCTACATTCCCAGAGGGTTTCTCTTATGACGTGTCTTAACCTACAGTAAAAATTCAATCTGTACGGTAAAGAAATGTTCCTGATTCAAAATAAAGCTGAGATGGTTATTTGGCTGGAGTTAATGATCTGCAGCTTCATTTTGTAGCCTAGTTAAAGTGTGGGAAGTTAAAAATACAGGAAGATAAAACTGATGTGAGGAGATGGAGAGCGACACTGTCCCAGATACGATCAAACTGAGTTCCTGCCACCAAGAGACTTTCACAATCTAAAGGGGTCTGAATCTTACAAATGACAGAGTTATTGAGCAAAATTAGTTGAAGTTGAATTGGGTTTAACAAGCATGAGAATTGGTTCGTGCTGAGGAGAATGGGAAGCGAATATGTCTGGATGCACTGCTGTCAGATCACATCACAATCCAACGCCACAATTATAATCCATCCTTCCTGTGATTCCTAGCATTAGAAAAGCTGCTATCACAAGCAGTACATTGAGATGAAGGAGCATAAACTTCCAGGATAATCTAAGATCAGTCAGATATGACGAGGTTCTTCTCATTTATGATCAAGGTTAATCAGGAACAGCAGTGAGGGTAATGGAGGTGGAGTCATTAAGACCAATTAACTTACGATTTAGGATGGAGGCATTCAGGCGACATGCAAAGCATTATGGGTATAAAGGATCTTAAAAAGTAAAAGACATTTTCAGTCTTTTCGAAAATGACCTGCGCAGATTCACTGACCGCAAAGTTAGATGATCAGATATTAGCCTTTAAATATTAGCAAATATTAACAAGCATTGGTCTGTTTTAATGGCAGTTAAGCACATATTACCCTCAGATTTCTCTTATTTATTTTATTTTAAAACGGTACAACTTAAATTAATACAATAAACACTATCATACGTTATACTTAATATTTATTATTTATTTGTTTGATTGATTGATTGTCCTTATGTGTCCTTGTTGTTGTTATTGTTATTATTATGCAAATAACATGATGTACACTTAATGTAAAATATTTATTCTTATGCTAAGCATAACTTAAATTCAGCACAACAAATACTATTATGATATAAACTTTATTTATTTATCTTACATTATTGTTATTATACCTATTATTATAAAAATGGAATAATATACACTTAATGTAAATATTAATATTACAAATATTAATATTTCTCATAAAATAAGCATAACTTAAATTCAGCACAACAAATACCTTCATGATGTGTACTTTAAGTTTATTTAAAATGTATTTTTATTCTAATTTCAATAATAAATTGGATTTATTTTTCATTACAATAATGAGAACTTGGAGATAAAATAGAAAATTAATATATAATATAAAAATTATAAAACAAAAAATAATATTCGTTTCTTCTATGGATTTTTAACAGCTCAGGCTATTTGCTCAGATTGCTCAGTTTAATCTTTAATGTATTAGTATAAAATATTCACAGCACAATTTGTCCCTAAACTTTAAATAACACCGTCGCTCTGCTTCCTGCAGGTATTTTCTCAGCAATTAAATTAATCTGGTGTTCTTAATTATTTTTTGTAGATCACTAATAATGAGATATTAAAATGAGCTAAGTTCCCGTGAGCTGTTAAGCAGAAATGGGCAGCGTTTCTCTCTCTCTGTGTGTTTAACTGCAGTCTGTTCCTCTGGTCCTCAGGTTTGTGGGTCACACTGAAGTTGCTTCCAGGTGATATTCATCAGATCCGGAAAGATTTCCCTCACCTGGTGGACCGTTCCACCGCCGTCGCTCGCAAGATGGGATTCCCAGAAATCATCATGCCAGGTATCCATCATCAAACTCAAATGTATTTACAATAAAAACAGGATTTTATTGCTCCTCTTTGAATTAGTTAACATACAACAGTGACAATGAAAAGTTCAACCAGACCATTCATGAAAACTACACTGCAAATCATCATGATGGACATTCAAATATGACTATCCACATTTACATATCAACATCCTCTCTGTTATATCCTTCTCATGTTTTGGCTGTTGCTGATATTCATTTCACATGCAGCAATGATCAAATCACAACATTTACATTTAGAACTCTTAAAGGTACAGCAGCTATTTAATTCCAAGTATAAACAATACTGATTATGACCTATGGATGTGCAAGCAGCACTTGCTTGAGCTATTTTTGTGTTTTCCTAATAAAAATCTAAGGTCTGTATTGCAAACTGTCTATTTTTAGTTGTAGATCACACATCAATCCTGTTAATAAGCGACGCTGAAGCCTTGTGCATGTTTTTGCAGGTGATGTTCGGAATGACATTTACGTGACACTGGTTCAGGGGGATTTTGATAAAGGAAGTAAGACGACACCTAAAAACGTGGAGGTCAGCATGTCTGTACATGATGAAGATGGAAAGAAACTCGAGGTAATCTATAGTAGTCAGTTTGTGTGTGAGACACATTATAATGAATGATCCAGATTCAGTATGTACAAATTTATTTCTTCTATTTATATGTTGCATTTATATTGCAACATGTGTTGCATTTTTTTCTAAATTATGTATAAGTGTATATGGCTATATTATATTAGCAATGTAGGGTTGTTAAAGTAGTTTTTTTAATTGTAAAAGTTTTTTTTTTTTTTTTTTTCAAGAAAATCCTTTTTAGGGACCTGAGATGCAAATTATCTTATGCAATACTCTCTATGTATAATGCATATTTTTAATAAATTTTTTTTTTTTTTTTTTAATGATTTCAGAATTATTTTTTACATAAAAAAAAAATTGTACTGTCCCTATGTAAATAAACCAATAAAAATATAATATATATTATTAATCAAAGGCTGCAGTTTAATTAAATAACTGTATAGTCATGCAGCACATTTCATTATTATGATTATCAACTATTCATTTTTTTATTTGACAGTAAATTTGTAATTAGCAACAATATTATTATACAATTATAATTATATGTATTACAACAACAACAACAATAATAATAACAATAATAATAATAATAATAATAATAATAATGGTAATAATAATAATAATTTAAAAATTATAATTTAAATTCTCAGGGGGTTCTTCAAGGAAATATTTTGTCTAAGGGATTCAGTTGCCAAAATTTTTGGGAGCCCCTGTTGTAAAAAATTATTTCAACTATTTTTTTATTTATTTTGTATTTATTTTATTATTATTATTTTATTTTTTTTAAAGAAAAAATAATGAGTACACAATTTAATAAAAGACACAAGACAAGTAGTTGCCCATCAAAAGGAAGATTTAGACACCACTCTAAATAAATATATAAATCTAATAATAATAAAAAATACATATTTTTGCATTGAAGCTGCCTTGATATAGCCACTTTTTAAGTAACAAATAATAAATACTAATATCCGTCAAATCAGTCATTATATTATTAGCAAATTTACATTTATGCCATAAATGCTGTCTGTATAGCTTTGTTTGTATTAAAGCTGTAACTTTCTTTTAAACACAATCACACTCGCTCTCTAATAGTCTGTTATGAGGTTTGTATTTTTGCCTGCTGACGTGCACATATGCCTCATACTTCCCAGTACATTTAGTTTCTTTTGTTACTTTTACATTTTTTGCTTTTTTTGTTTTTTTCCCCACCTTCCACCCCTGCTTTGTGCTTTTTTTGTTGTTTTTTTTGTTTTTTTTTACTGCCCACATAATCTTTCTTTCTCTCATGCACTCAGTCCTGTGCCTGTAGGGTGGCTGGTCACTTATTGCTCATAATTGGTGGCTGTCAGCTGTAGCATGTATGTGTGTTTGTCAGGGTTTGACAGGCCAGCTGTGTGACGGAGTGTTGAATGCATGACCCTCACTGTGTGCAAAAGCAAGAAATAAAAAAGTACAAAAAAGCATGCTGTTTTTTTTGCTCCTCACAGCATATGGGCACCTTATGGCTTCCAGCAGGTAGAACATAGTTTGTCATTTAATATTTCATATCTCGTATCTGTCATTTCTCATCTCAATTAGCTTCTGAACTTGGCAAAGAGTCAGATTAAATTCATCTGTGCAACAGATTGTTTTTTACTGGTCAGCATGAATGTGCGATGACAAAATGATCAATATAATGGCCTCAGGCTCCTCTTTAGAAGATTTAAATGTCTAATGTTTTTAATAGCCTTTTATTTTTTTTATTTTTGCCATTTAGAACGTGATATTTCCTGGAGCTGGTGATGAAGGTATTCTGGAGTACAAATCGGTCATTTACTACCAGGTCAAACAGCCACGCTGGTTTGAAACCATCAAGGTGAACATCACTTACACAGTGTCAGATGTAATGTCTACTACATTAAGCGAAGAGTCATTTATATTACTTGCCAAAGTAGAGGCATAATACTCAGGACAAATGTATTCTGGGAAAGTTTAGGTGTGCAATTTCTTCCAAAGTCCATATTTTATTTTATTTTGTTTTGCTTTTACCTTTACTTTACTTTACTTTACTTTACTTTAATTCTGACACTACAAATTTTTTTAGGTATCTGAAAACCAACACTCATAAAATGTAATTTAATTTAATTTAATTTAATTTAATTTAATTTTTTTATTTTATTTTATTTTATAACCAACAACTTTTATTTTATTATTTACTTTAATTTTATTTTATTTTATAACCAACAACTTTTTATTTTATTTTATTATTTAATTTTATTTAATTTTATTTTATAACCAACAACTTTTATTTTATTTTATTTTGTTTTATGTTAATATTGGAATTTTTTCCCAATATTGGAATACCATATGTGACCCTGGATCACAAAACCAGTCTTAAGTCGCTGGGGTATATTTGTAGCAATAGCCAAAAATACATTGTATGGGTCAAAATTATAGATTTTTCTTTTATGCCAAAAATCATTAGGATATTAAGTAAAGATCATGTTCCATGAATATATTTTGTAAATTTCCTACCGTAAATATATCAAAACTTAATTTTTGATTAAGAAGAGCATTGCTAAGAACTTAATTTGGACAACTTTAAAGGTGATTTTCTCAATATTTTGATTTTTTGACACCCTCAGATTCCAGATTTTCAGATAGTTGTATCATTAAACAATAATCAAGCCTCAAAGGGCAAAAATGCATGATTTGACCCTTTTAAATATTTAAAATCCTAAAAGAGGGTTACACGGTTGAAACTGTTTAAACAATTTAAATAAGAATAAAGTTCAGCGTAAAGGTCACAAGGACTGCACCCTGTGTCTATTTGGATCCATATTTGTCTTTTATTAATATTCAAGACCTTTAAGGTGTTTTCTAGTCTTAGTTTCTTTCTATCTGCATTAACTTAATCTTTTTTGTGATATCCTATGTTGCAGGTTGCGATCCCGATTGAAGACGTCAACAGGAGTCACCTGCGGTTCACCTTCAAGCACCGATCGTCTCAGGACTGTGAGTTGAGCACACGTTCACACAGGAGAGCACTTTTAGAGCTGTTTAACCCAGCGGTGGTCTGGAAACTCACTCTAGTAAACTTTAAGTGTTTTTGAGGTCACAGCATGTGTGAGACAGAAGCACATTTCACTGGTGCTGTCGTGCTTCACACCTCTTTAAATAATATCAAGCGTTCTTTATCTTTGTATCTCAGTGGGTTATCAAAATAACTTTCGACTATTACAGAGTCATTTGCATCTGAATGAGTTTGCAGTCATTGAATAGACTGTTAAGTCTGCATTAGTGGTGCTTGGTTTTACTGTTGCTCATACATGGGGTTAGTTATTTGAAGAAATCCTTTGATACACAGCTCATCACTTACCATTTGTGCTACAGACATGGAATTATACCTCAAATCATCCTAGCAACCACTCAGAATTTCCTAACAATGCACAAGAAACTTTATGAACACATTAGCAACTGCTTAGCAACACCCTGACAACCACCCCGAATGCCAAAGCAAAAATTTTATTTGTATTTTATTTTTCAATAATAATAATAATCAAACCTCCAAGGAAAGAATGCATGGTTTGAATATTTTATTTTATTTTATTTTTTATTTTTATATTTTATGTTATGTTATGTTCACTACTGCTCAGAAGTTTGGGATCCACTCCATTACAGTCAGAATTCTGGCTGACTGCTTATTCTTCAAATATTGCTGACACATTTTGGAAGTGTGTTTTGGGTCATTATCCTGTTGTAGGATGAAATTGGCCCCAGTCAAGTGCTGTCCACAGGGTATGGCATGGCGTTGCAAAATCTTGTGATAGCTTTCCTTCCTCAAGGTCCCTTCCACTCTGTACAAATCTCCTATTTTACCACCTCCAGACCATCCCGCTGCCTCCACCATGCTTGACTGAAGGTATTAAGCACTGTTCTAGCATCTTTTCATTTGTTCTGCGTCTCACAAATGTTCTTCTGTTTGATCCGAAGACCTCAAACTTGGACTCATCTGTCCACAACACCTTCTTCCAGTTTTCCAGTGTCCAATGTCTGTGCTCTTTTGCCCTTCTCAGTCTTTTGTTTTTATTGGCCAGTCTGAGATATGACTTTTTCTTTGCAATTCTGCCATGGAGTCCAGCATCCTGAAGTCGGCTCTTCACTGTTGATGCTGACACTGGTGTTTGACGGGTACTATTTAGTGCAGCTGCCAGTTGAGGACCTGTGAGGCGTATTTGTCTTAAACTACACACTCTCAGATATTTGTCGTCTTGCACAGTTGTGCATCGGGGCCTCCCACTCCTTTTTCTTTGCCTGTTAGAGCCAGTTTGTGCTGCTCTCTGAAGGGAGTAGTTTACAGCATGATAAGAAATTAAGTTTCCTCGCAATTTCTCGCATTGAGTAGCCTTCCTTTCTAAGGACAACAATAGACTGACGGGTCTCTAATGAAAGTTCTTTCTTTCTGGCCATTTTGAGCCTGTAAACAAACTAAGATACTAAACTAACCTAAAGAATGGTTTCTATAAATATTATATTTTTTATTTATTTTTTGTCTTAGTTTATTTTTACTGTATTTTTTTTATTTCGTTTTTTTTATAAACAATACTAATTATTTTATGTATCTGAACATTTTAATTGGGGAATATTCTGCTTTTGGAAGACTAGTATTACACATAATACACATAATCATTTATTTAACCCATTATACTGGCATTATACACTCATCCAAGGCTTATTTAATGTGCAACATACCAGTGCCCAAGCGACCACCCAGAATTCCCTAGCAACCACACAGCAGCACACTGTAATATTTTGAATACCTTAGCAACCACATGAAATGGCATGTCAACCACCCAAAACACCTAAGCATTGTGATGAGTTTACCATGCGGAAACCACTCATAACCTATTCAGACAATGTATAACTGGAGTTTATTTCGCAGTTCTGAAGTTGTTTACTAGCTGTTTGTTTGTGTGTTTTTCTGAGAGGGAGTTTCTGAATCATATTGGCAGTGAACGCGGGCGTGTTTGTGAAGCCTGAGAGGTTGTTTATGGGCCAAGAGGCGTCTGGCGTTCGGCTGCGGTCATCACACTTAGCCGCGCCGCTCCATCTGCCCACCACATGTTGCCGTGGCAGCGCCAGGATGAGAGGGGCAGAGTCTCATTGTCAGGCTCTGGTTGCCAGGCGCTGGGCGGAGGATGTAAAACAAATCATTTAGCACAAGCAGACAATCTGGAGCAAATAAACGTCTCGTCAGCTGAGCTGAGAATAAACGCTATGACAGTATCACATTTTCACATACCGGCTGCTGATCTCAGCACAGTTGTTGTCTAGAAAGTGCTGAAATGTCACATTTTTAAACAAGCTGTCATTTTGAAGTTTGTTTTTGTGGATGCAACAATACAGTTAGCCCACAGTTCAATACATTGAAATTTTAACCACAGTTTTTGGTTTGGAGCAGGTTATGTTCAGTGAATAAGTTGTGTGTGTATATATATATATATATATATATATAATATATATAGACTTAAAATTTAGATATATACTCCGCTCGATGTTTAATTAAAATAGAGATACTGCATACATTTATTATATACTTTTATACTTTTGTTTACTTTGAAATGTAGATAATATATAAAGATTAAAATATTTTATGAAAAATATTATATGTAAATATATTTGGCTTGCATACATTTAGATATTTAAAATAATTTTAAAAGTCTTCGCTGTTTAACGGTCCTCTTCCACTTCCTTCCATGGTCTCAATTCATTTTAGATTCACTTGCAGTTCAGATTCATATCCAGTCTTTGTTCAGTTCAGATTCAAAACAGTTTTTGGTTATTTTATTGGCATGACTCTCTTTTCAATGCATTGAAAGAACAAAAGAACATTATAAAGAGGTCAACTATTAACAATTGTGAATAATAAATATGCAATATCCTTTCTCTACAGGCAAAGATAAATCAGAGAAGAACTTTGCTGTGACATTTGTGAAGCTGATGAGGTACGACGGCACGACGCTTAGGGATGGAGAACACGATCTCATCGTCTATAAGGTGAAACCAACACAATTGCCAGTGATCTCAAAGCACACACACACACGCACACACACACACACACACGCACACACAGATATGTGAGTTGTGTACTGATGCTGCTTGTCCTCGTTTGTCCCATTTAACCTATGACCCCACATCACAATGTAATCATTATGCAATTAAGCTTTGTTCGTGTATTCATTATTTTCTTATCTGCATATGAAAGAGCTTCATTAATGCAGAACGTCGCCTGGTCAAGTCCTTTTTGAGCAATGCAAATTAATCTTCGTACAAATCATCGCTTTATAACTGATCTGATGTTGGTTTTACTGCTTGTGCAAAACTGGCTCTGAAAAAGTCAAATCAACTGAATTAAAAAATGCAACATTAAAGACAATTTTAATTTTAACAAGCATTAAGAATGTGTTCACTGATTGACCGCTGTCAGTCGCTGAATGCATTCTTCAGTCTCATGCAAACAGGTGTTGTTCTCACGATGCGTGTTTCTCTGTTTGTAGGCCGAAGCCAAGAAACTGGAGGACTCCACCATGTACCTGAGCTTGGCCTCCACCAAACCAGAGATGGAGGAAAGAAATCCGTCGTCCGGGAAGAACACGCAGAATCTCGGCAGCTTCTCCATCAGCAAAGACTCGTTTCAGATCTCGACGCTTGTTTGCTCCACCAAACTCACGCAGAACGGTGAGACACGTCCACTTGCATCATTTCCCAATTCCATCATGTCCTCTCGTTCCTCTGTTCTTCTGTCAGTAAAAGTGGCCACAAAAAGAATAAATAGGGCTGACAAGTCAGTGTTTGCAACCAGTTTCCTGCAGTAATGTGATGTATTTCAGACTGAAACTAGATTTTTCACTTTATCCAAGAATTGATCACATTTTGAAAAGTAGTTTCTATATGAAGTAGTTGAAAAGTAAGAGCTTGCTAATGTCAACCAATGTTATTTTAGTATCTTTGAGATGCTATTATAATTTGAATTAGGTTTTATTTTTATACATCCTGTTTTCATTTTAATTTGTTTTTATCTCATTTTTATTAGTTTTAATAGTTTTAATGTCGGTGTAGTTTTAATTAATTTTAATAATTAAAAAATGTAATTCATCAAGTTAACATAAATGTTAAACTAGCTTCAATAAAATGTTTCTTTTTCTGTTTGATTTAAAAAAAATCATTTAACATTTATTTTATTTCAAGTAACAATTTTCAGTTGGAATAACAAGCATAAGGATTGTTCGACCAGGAACGTCTAGTATTTTTTATTTTTTTTAAATGGCTAGTATAGTTTTTATCGATTGTTATTTCAGTTTTGACAAATGGCAACTAGCTGGAATAAAATAAGTTACTTTTTTTTTTTTGATTTTATATCAGTTAACATTTATTTTATTTCAAGTTAATACATTTTATTTATTTATTTATATTTAAATGGTTTTAGTTTTAGTAAACAAGTAGTTTTACTTTTTTTTCTTAACATTTTGATAAAGATTAAAAATTAAATTTTAATTTGAAATAACAAACACCAGGATAGTATGACCAGGACTGTCTAGTAAGGTTTTTTTTATTGTCTGTATAATTTTTATTAAATTTAATTTGAGTTATTTTTAGGATTTTTTAAAATACATATTTATTTAAATTTAATCAAGTTAAACTACTTAAAAATGAGAAATGTTGTGTTTGCAACTTGCTGAAATAAAATAAGTTTCAATTTAAAATTTTTCAGTTAACATTTCAAGTGACAAATTATTATCTTTAGTAAACTAGTAGTTCTTAGTAGTTTTAGTTTTAGTAAACAAAGTAAGCACATTTTGATAAAAATGACAAAAACAGTATTTTCATTTGGAATAACAAGCATCGGGATTGAACGATCAGACATGTCTAGTAAGCAAGTAAATAGTCCGTTTTGATTGACGGCATCTGTATGTTTTGTGTGAGATGTTGTGTCCGGTTGGCAGCTGTGAGGAAGTGCAGATGCGGGAAGATCATTACAGTCGGATCACATACAGGATGCAGTGAAGTCCACCGCAGTCCTGACGCAATCTCTCCTTTACCCCCTCCTCTCCTCTTTAAGCATGTGTGTGTTGCTCTATGAATCTCACAGAAACTGCTTACCCATCAGCCTTTGGTCATGGTGTAGCGGCAGGCATGAGTATGTACAGCGGACGACTTCATGACTGGAGAGTCCTGCGGTCGTAGATCTGAGGAGAGGGTTTCAAATATTGCGGGAACATAAAGTCAGGTGTAGATCGCAGGGGGAATGTGCAGTCATCCAAGTCATGAGCCTGCAGACTAAATTGATTGCAAAGACAATAAATAGACAACACTTTTTGGAATTTAGTTGTCTTCTAGTGTCAAATGATTCATTTGAGCCATTTTGAATGAATCTTTGAAAAAGACTCACGAGTTTGAATCAGTTTGATGAATGGATACTGAATTAACATCAGACTCGCATTCTGTGATGTTCATATGACAATGTGTATTTGTGAGCATCCTGATCGCCTGATACAACAACATTAGCATAAGTTTGGGGGCGGGGCTACGTGTTTATCTAACCAATGACAGACAGAGGGAGTGTCAGGAAACTTGAAATCAGTTATTAGTTTTGCGTAGCCTCCAACTCTCACACTGGCGAGTAAAATCTAAGAATTTATTAGCCAATGGCTAATGTTAGACATCATTTAGTCGCCCAGAGTGAAGATGTAGTTGCCTACAGTATGCGAGTGATTTACTCTCATTGTAGAGGGTTGCTGTCTCTGTGAGTCAGTCAGGGTCACACGAGCAGAATACAGAGCAGCTGAGCGTTAGTGATGCCGGTGTTGTGCCCAATTCTGACCCCCCGCCAGATAATTACCCTCCTAGTATTGGTAGGTTTAGGAATCAGTGTGGGGGAGGGGTTAGGATTATGCAATCAGGAAGCAACTTCAACGAGGGGGGTAATAATTTGGCAGGGGGTCGAAATTGGACACACCACCGAAAATTAAGATGGAGATGCATGAAGTCACATCAGAGAACGATGAAGACAAAATAGCCTTGCTTTAGACCAGAGCAGGTCTGAAGACGAGATGGACCACTGGGTGAAAAATGAATGAGAGAACGTGCAGCGTTCATTACGAACGCTTCTTGATGTCCTGTATACGACTGGAACTGTCCCCATTTTACAGCACCTTCAAAAGATCCCGTAAATAAACCAGATATCATCGAGATACCATTATAGTTTTTAGTAAAGTTAAAATTAAAGTTTTTATTATATTTGATGTTTTGTTTTTAGATTTATATTGTTCAGTTGTTAATTTTCACTTTTACTTTTAATTTTGTTTGTGCCTTTTTTTTGTATGTCTGTGTAGTTTTTAATTTATTTCAGTTTTAGTGTTATATTTTAGGTTTATTATATTTAGTGGTATTTTAGTACAAAAGAAACTAAATGAAAATTAGAAATTCTTTGGAAACTAGCTGAAATAAAATGTTTAATTAAAAAACGTATTTAAATAAAAAAAACAAACTCATCATGGATGAAAAATTATGACAAAGATGAGCCTAAAATTTGATATTTAATTTGCCTTTTTAACTTTTGAATAGTTAAAAAGTTGTACTTAATGTATACAATATATTTGCAGTTTGTGAAAATGAAAACATTACATATAGAAAATATTACAAATATTTGTTTAACAAGTGTTTATTTGTCTTATGTTCTCATCAGGGTTATTATAGTTAACTAAAATGAAAACTGTAAAAGGTTACTTGAAATAAACTGAAATAAATTATAAAACACTATAGATATATATATATATATATATATATATATATATATATATAAAAAATAAATAAATAAATAAAAATAATTTGGTCCTCAATTTGTGTTTCCAACACACTTTTTCACAGCGCGCATCACGCGCTCAAACTCATCAAAAGTCAACAAGTTCAACAAGCAACAACGACTTATCCAAGTGACCGCTGCAGATCGCACGCGCGAGAGAGAGATAAGTGAGTGGGAATTTACCGAATGTGACACTTGCGGGAGTTAACACTGTATGCAAACCTCACACCAAATTTCAGGCCGTGTAGATAGGCAAGCATATACTATATACAAATCATAGTGTTGAGAAATAAGTGCGATGTCATTAAACTCCGCTTGTGCTTCAGAGACACTTTGAGACACTCCAACCTGGAGCTCGCAAACACTTCATTGCCGTCAGAATGCCAAGATGTTTTTTGCTCTATTTTCAAAGCTCGTGCAGCGTCAAGCATCGTTAGGCCTCGCTCCGTGCGGTGTGCGTGTGCGATCTGAGCGTTGATAGTCCATCTTTATCCCCGCCGGACGACAGCTTAATTCCCCTCACATCGCATGTTATGAGGCCGGCCGTGCTTGTGAATTGATTATAGAGGTGACCTGCGTGACTATTAGCGTGTGGTTTTATGTGAACCCTGAGCCACGGGCAATTCAGACGCTGCTTTAATGAAGACCTTTGTCAAAAATCAGCATTTGGCAGGTAGCAGCCGCAGTAATGAGGTCGCTGAGGATTCCTCAGATCGAGGCATTAGCATATAAACACGGGTTTTTATTGTGTACGCCATTTTTTCCATCCATTCCGAGACCTTGTCCATCAATGCCAGTGTGTTTTCTGTCGTGAAAGTAAAATTAGAGGCTCTTTATCGCACACAAACATTAACATATTGAGCTGTGGATCCCCGCTGTTCCTCTACACCAGTGGTCGCCAACCCGTCGATCGCGATCGACTGGTAGATCTTTATCACTGTCCCAGTAGATCCCGAAAATAACAGTAAAATAAGTACAAAAATGCATTACATTTCTGGGGTTATATTAATGTATCACTGAAGGGAACTGTCTTGAGAAAAGTTTCGATGGCAATGGCATTTTCTTCTCCGAATTGGGCTACTTTAACACTGTTGCCGCGGGTTGTTGTTCATGGCCGCGGGTTGAAGCGACCCCAATAACGTGATATTTAGCCCCTGGAATGTGAATTTTACTGGAAGGTCCCCACCGAAAAACGTGTTTTTACCCTGTATTTTTACAGGGGAACCCCCTCGAAACGCGATTGGACTAGTTTTATTTTAAAAAAATTCACAAAAATCTAACCTTTCATTGGATAACAGGAATTTAAAATGGGGGGAAATATCATTATGAAATACATTTTTTCTCTAATACAAATTGGCCACAATTAACGGCACCCTTTTATTCAATGCTTTTTGAAACCTCCATTTGCCAGTTTAACAGCTCAAAATTTTCTCCTATAATGCCTGATGAGGTTAGAGAGCACCTGACAAGAGATCAGAGACAATTCCTTCA